TTTACCATCCTTCCACACGAAATCACATTAAAATTTCGCTATACACGGCATTCCAAGCAATAGATTGGAGGTCAATTCGAGTTACGTAAAAATTTTGAGCCACACTAACGCCATTCACAACAATCTCAATACTATGAACACATCCAACGATTTCATCACCCATATGACCAATGGTTGATCCCTTGTTTCAACGTTTCCAAGTAAGCCCTTTCTTTTTTCCATAAATTATGTTTATTAAATTCAAACACGGACTAGCCCTGATCGATACTTTCGCTGATTCTTTATTTACCCTTATCAACATTTACACGACATACATCCATCCGTTTACTATTGAAATATCGATCACGACCTTAATCTTGTACGAACGAGTCAAATGTCCTTTACGACGACACGCATAACAGAGATATGGTTTACGCCTTTGTCATTTCTCTTGAACTGTTCTCAAACTCTTCTTTACTTGAAACACTAGTTTAGCTAACGAAACAAGGTAATTTTCGCTTTCCATTTTTCAACTTTAATTTCGCTAAATAGCTAATTGCCATCAAAGCACTTTAAATTCACTAATCAAGATTGATATAACTCTCTTGACCTTGTATTTAACACAAATCCACTGGATTCCAACGTATTTCGGCAAGTAAGACCGCGTCTTATCCTGGTCCTTACATCATGATGTTTCCTGGACTATCATGCACTGCTTGACTTCCACTGTTTGACTACATCATCGATATTCAATTTGATCACACCATACAATCATTTTACACGACCCGACCATGGCACCGATCTTTAACGTAAAACCGATTCTGACCGTGACAATTACTGTTAATGAGTGTTTGATCTTAATGAAGCAAAGTTAAGTTAATCTAATTCATATATATATATATATCGTACAATGTTTAGTATATATTATGGCTTGATTTTGTATATCTCTCTTGTAGAGATTAATATTTCTACTTGCGATAGTAATCATTAGTAGAGCTTTATATCTTCCATTCGTGGAAATTTAAATGCCTCCTTGCGGTGATATAAA